ACATATCCAAGGGCCACTTTAACTAGCAGACAAAATAAAGCAAAACGGGCTTCTGTGATGTCCTCTGAGCAGCCTTCTGGAAACCGAGACTGTACCTTGTTCAAGCTGTTTTAACCAAAACGACAGAGAAAGAGAAACATTTATCACCACAAAGAGATGACTTATTTAATGAGCTTTGCACACAAACATGAAGCCCTGGCTGTGTCCTCATCTGATTTTATGAAGTGCCTGGAATAACAAAGACATTGGGAAGTGATTTAAAGGTAAAACTGTAAATCCAGATTCAAAATGACCCTTTGGTCATAGGATGTTTGAAAGCTGCTTGAGATTTGCCTGAGTGAGAGGATGAGTGGTGAGGAATGTAACCACTGAGTCTATTTCATCAAATCCAATAGTGACACAATATAGAAGGTTTCACATTATCACCTGCTCAGCAGAAGAATGAGGGGGGGTGACGCACCAGGACGTCTTTTTCTCTTGTTTCCTGCTTCACCGAATAACTGAATTTTGGGACAGTCTGGAGAAGGAGTCTGAGCCAAGAATAGAGGAAAAAGTTATGTTAGGGAGAAGGGAGAAAAATTTCCTATCATGCCTTTGTCAACTTATTAGTCTAGACCAGCTGTTCAATGGAGTTATAATGCGAGTCACATATGTGATTTCAAATTTTCTATTAACCACATTAGAACAAATTAAAAGGAAACATATGAAATTAATTTTAATAATATATTTCATCTAAAGTAATACACCCAAAATATTATCATTCTAACATATAATCAATATAAAAATTAATGAGATTTTTTTTTTTGGTATTAGGTCTTTGAAATATAGGGTATATTTCATATTTACAGCACATCTCAATTTGGACCAGTCACATTTCAAGTGCTCGATAGCCACATGTGGCTAGTGCTACTGTATTGCACAGTGCAGGTTTAGATGCACTAAATGGAATCTGGGGCATCACACAGAAATTAACTGTCAGCATTTAACTACCTAATATATTTTTGATACATTTTCCTTCTGCTAGTTCTTTCACTATCTCCCAGAAGAAATAATCTCAAAGGCCACATGCTGTGTTAGCAAGAAGTTTTGGGCTTTGAAGCAAAACAGACTATATATTTGAATCCAAAGCGGGATTAAAATACCAGCTTTGTAACCTTGGGCTAGCTGCTTACTGTGTATGAGTCTTGGTTTCTTCAACATCAAATCAAGACACAAATAGCTAACTCTCCTGTTGGACAGACTAAATAAGATTGGTATAAAGAACACCGCACAGCCTGGGATGGTATAATAGGCATTCAAACAATAATTTCCCCTACAGAAAACCCAACTTGATTTCTAAGGGGTCAACTCATTGTATTTGAGGCTATAGTGCTTAATTTATTCCACTTTTGGACCTTTCCCCTGAGGTTTCTTCTGCTAAGGCAGCCCTTTCCCTAGACCCTCTTTCGGCTGGCTCCCTCTTATTACACAGGTGTAAATTCAAGGGTGATCTTCTCACAGAAATCTTCTCTGGCTGTCCTATTTTAAAGCCCCAAGCCCTGTTACTTTCTAGTTCTCAGCCTTTCTTTACTTTCTTTATAGCATTTATCAATATCTAAAATTATCTGAGTTATATGTTTGTTTACTCCCTCTTACCTGTCACTTTCTCTAGCATAGACGCTCCCACAGAGCAAGGACCTGGTCTGTCTTATTCAGAGCCCAGCAAGTATTTGTTGAATGAATGGATGAATGAATGAATGTTTAACACAGGGAGGTAAATATAAATGGTGTTCTGATACTAAAGGTAGTAGAGAATGAAAATTCCAGAGCTCTTTTTAATCTAAAATAATTGTTCAGGAAGTCAATGGCCTAGAGCCAGCCTCACCTGCTGAGGTTTGATATTGCCTATCTTGAATCTCACAGCTGGACTTTGGAAGGGTTGGGAAAGTGGGAAGGTGATTTCATCGTTGCTGCCTATTAGTATGTATCACATGCAAAGTACATGTACACGTCACATAAAATCATCCAGAAGATTTGGTTATTCTTGCCCTTTAGAAGAAGAACCGGGTTGGGGACCAGCTGGCAGGAAAAAGAGGGTGGCTCAACATCAGACAGACCTGGGCTTGGATCCTTGTTCTGCCTTTTACCAGGTATGCAGACTGGGCAAACTTCTATAAGCCTCAGTTTCCTTATCTGTAAAGCTTTAAATGATAATTCATATCCTGTAGTGTTGCTATGAGAATTAATTGACATAATGTAAGAAAGTGCTTAGTACATCTTGAAGGCTCAATGAATAGTAGGTATCAATATTGTCAACGTTGCATCCAAGAATGCCTTGCCAGAATTTACTGATCGATCTTTGGAATGGCTACTTTGAGGATATCCGATTTCTTTTTAAGGTTCTGGTATTTCTTTCCCACATTTCTACATCATCCAGCTTTTTGCAACTAACGGGTCAAGATTGCAAAGAGAGAGAGAGAGACAAAGAGAGAGACAGACAGAGAAAGAATAAGTTGAATTGGCTAAATCTGTGCCACACTGTGAACAATGACAGTGGAGACCCTTCTCTTTATAGAGACAGCTTCTTGTGTTTCTGGAGATGGATACAGCCACGAGACCTCTCCAGTTTCCATGCCAAGACGTTTGTAGCTACAGGCACAGATTTAGCTGTTTTGTATTCAAGAGTATGGGTCAAAAGAGAACTGAGAGAAAGGGTTGAGAATCCATGCTAGTCTGGACACATTTTACTTGCTGGCAACACAGAATACTCTGCTGGATGAAGGTGAAGTGGCAGACCTGACCCTGTATTATGAACCCACTACTCATATTTGAGAATAATTAGACCAGAACTGATTTTACTCATCCTTTTGCTGATGTAAGCCCCATAGGAGAGAAAGTAAGCTGCTCTACAAAAGCATTAGACTATTTGGCACTTACTTATAACCTCACATTAACATTAATAATAGCAGTTTATCACTGGCTATCGACCAGGCATTTCCATTTTTCATTTTCTGTTTTCCTAACAACTGGGTATTGTTTCCCATTTTACAGCAGGAAAAGTGAGGCTCACAGAAGTTCAGTGACTTGCCAAAGTGTGGGAGCCAAGATTTGAAGCCCAGTCTGTTAGACTCCAAACTCTGTGTGTCCTCTGCTACGCTTTGCTGGCACTGCCAATGGAAGACCAAGTCCCACAGGACACGAGTCCCTAGTACCTTAAAGGAAAAGTACAGAAGTCCAAAAGAACACCATTACTATTCCTACTACGCATTGGAGAGCAAATAGTACTTCATTTCAAAACAAAACCTTGGCTCCACAGTCTGACATCCAGCTAGGCAACCTGAAGAGCTCTCTTTGAGACAGACAGTGACCCTCTGCTGGTGGCTCTCCAGTGCTGCTTGTAGGACTGAGAACACCAGGGGTGAGGACCATAACCTTAGCAAAGTCATTAAATGAGTTTGTGAGGAGGGTTCCCCAGGAGGCAGAGATTGCTGAAGCCCTTGGGAAACAGAGTCCTGGGAGCTCACTCCTGAGAGTAGGGCTTTCTCCTACAGCAGCATAGCTGACTCCAGACCCCAGGGAAGACTGGAGATTACTCCTAAAGCTAGCCCAGCTACCAGCAGAGGTTTGGCTGGATGGTCTTGATGCAGGTCCTCAAAAGGAAGGCAAAGGACGTTCACCTGGGGTTCAAGCAGAGTCTTCAAGGGTGTCCACGAACCCTTAGGGATTCTTACAAAAACTTGTACCTTCCATAATAATATATTTTCCCCTTGCGAGAGGACTCATAGCTAATTCTCAAAAGAACACCAATTTCTAAGAACCACTAAAATTAAAATTTTCATCTGCTTCTTCCTTACACTATTCAGCACTTTTACCCCATTGTATATAAATACACACAGACACATATATGCAAGCCTAAAATGTTTAATGAGATATATATGCAATAATTAATTTCCCTAATGTTGCAAAGAAAACTAAGGCTCAGAGAGGATAGGTGTCTTGCCCAAGTTTTCACAGCCAGAGACAGGGCTAGGGTTAGCAGCACTCCACTGACCAAGAGACATGAGATTCAGGTGGGAAATCTTTGCGAGCCAACTTGATGAATGAAGACAAACGAATCCCTCCAGGTTAATAATAACATTTTGCAACCATTTTGAAGTCCAATCATAGAAAATCCTAAGGTGGTTGTTATTAGGGCAACCTGGGAAGCTTCCCCAGGATACAGGTAGAGGTCACTAAAAGGATATGTTCCCACTCAGAGAGCTAGAACTGCAGCCCCTGCTTTCCCCTTCCAGCGCTCTGACTCCCCAGTTACCTGAGTTTGCCTGACTTTCCTCCTCTCCCCTCCGCTCCTCTCTCCTCTTCTGCTCTCCTTCCAGCTTCCTCTCTGGCCTGGATTGCTCTGCTGAGGTCAATTGGCCTCCCTCCTGCTCCGGATTACGGGAGCCTCCAGGAGGCTGCTTACCTGCCGCTATCCCCATTGCCTTTCGGGGGGAGCCACGCCTTTCGGGTCAGCACAGGTAGCACTAAACTTTCCCCACCGGATACCCGGGAGGCTGCTGCTGCTGCTGCTGCTGCTCCTGGGAGAATTTTCACGTCCGTTCTCATCACATCACCTGTCTGAGCCTCTTTTCCCTCCCCGCTATTTTTCTTTTCAATTTGACGTAAATCATTTACATTCTGAGAATCCCACAATCACACTGAAACTCATTCTCAAGGATGCATCTGAAGATGCCTTTTAAAAAGACCATTGTGTGCAGTAGTAAAAGCTAGGATGGGGGGAGTATTTTTAGCTCCTCCGAGAAGCGACATCAATGCTGACTGCGGTCAGAGCCCCGCTTTCCCACAGGTTGCCGCGGCTGGGCAGCCCCTCTGCCGGCTCCGGCCGGTTTCTGGGGTTTTCTTGAGCAGCCCGCGCCCGCGGCTGCCCTCGCTCCCCGCCCCGCACGCGGCCTCGAACCCGCAGCCCCGGCGCCCGCGCGCCGCCCGCGCCGCCCCCGGCTTAGCCGGCGGTGGCTACTCACTTTTGCCGGCGAGCAAAGTCTGCCATATCAGTCAGCGAGCGCTTCCTGCAAAAGGACGACGAGGTCCATTGTGTGTAAAGCTGTTTCATGAACAGCCGACAAAATCCAGAAGAAGCAAGGAGAGGAGCGAGTAAGACAGAGGGGGAAGGAAGGGGAAGCCCAGCCCGGAAAATGGGTGTCTCGGGATTTCAGCCTCGGGTCCACGTCCCCAGCCCTTTGGCTGTAGGAGAAGCAGCTCAACTCAGTGCACTTGTTCACTCTTTCTTCATTAGAGGAGGAGTCAGTGTTGCAACAGTTCTGTTCCTTGCTGGAGGCAAAACAGTGATTTTCTTCAGCATGCAAAATGTCCAGAGCCTGCCAGTTTTACAAGGTGAGGGAGGTAGTTGGGGGAGCCAGAACGCAGCAAAGATGTGGAGAAGAAATAACTGATTCACCCCAGGTTGGTTTTTCAGGGTCACACATCTTGCACTGAGACGGTACCAGAAAATAAACGGACGAAACAATAATAAAAATATCTTCATAAATTAAATGACCTCAAAGATGGTATTTCTCCTGGCAGCCAAGATGTGGAGTGTCTCCGTGTCAAATTTCTTTCCTTATTTCTGAATAACGTTGAACAGCGGCGTGACAACGTTTGAAGGGGGCTCCGGGGATTTAAATCTCACCTTCCCCGAGAAGAAGGAGGGGTCAGAGGGAAAGGGGCAAAAGAAAATAAACAGTCCGTGACCCAAGCAGGTTTTGCTTTCTTTTTTGATACCCCAAAGCCCAAACTTCCAGGGTGCTGTGTTTATTCTCTGCGACATGAGTATAACACAGAAACATTGGATGTGCCTAAATAATCCACACTTCTGTTGTTTTCCACAAGTATAGAATTTACCTTTTCTAATAGAGCTGTGTGTGGTTCGGGTTTTTTTTTTCCCCCGGTAATAACAAAACCATGCACTACCTCCACTTTTTTTCTTGCAAAAAAGGTACTGAAAGGAATAGTAGTAGCTGCCTGAATCAAATAGTGCTCTCTCAATTAGTAAGTTGCTAGCCTCAGTTTGATGCCACGAATTAATATTGTGTATGACTGTTTCATTACCCAGAGGGGCACCAAGGGGATATTTTACACAAAGGCTGTTGAGTTTCAACAAAAAAAATTGCTGGAATGCTGGGCTTCCCCCCTTTGATTGATTGCCACTCTGGAATAACTGGCAAATGATATTCATTGGCAGCCAGTGGCCAGGCCTCAGGACGACATTGGAAATCCCAGGATGCTTTCGTGATCCTTTTGGATTCAAAGCCCACAGGTACCCGCATCGGCATAATCACCTGTTGCTTCCTGATCAATAACATGGCCCTGCACAATTAACCCTGAGACTCCATCATGTTCTCTTAGCTCAGGGGAGAGCTGTCTTTCATGCACAGCCTTCACGTGCCTCCTGTGATCATCCGGGTATGTTAACATTTGCTCATGGGTCGCCACAAAGGTATGCAACCCCCATTTATTTTCAAAACCGCTGGGTGACCCAGGGATCTTCAATGACATAATATTTCTATATGACCTTTGCAAGGCAAAGGATCTCTGAGTTTTTTGGAGATGTTCTAATCAGGCAATTTTAATAGCTGGTGAAAAGACATCACTCTGGATAACTGTAGACTGACAGCTCTTGGAAGGTAGGAACCTTGCTTTTCCTCCTTGTTCCCAGTCAGCTCAGCTCATCTGTGTTCATCGCTTCCAGCAGGTGACAGATTGGTTGTTGAGTGAGTAATGCACATTTCACTGGCAGAGAAGGGCAAGGCTGGCTTTCTGCTCTGTTGTGCAGCAAGCAGGCACTGTCTCTAAGCCACCAGCATTCGTCCCAGCTTTACAGAGATGATGAAGAAAGTCCGCTGTGAGCCTCAACGTCTCTCCTCTTTGCCCCCAAATTTTGTCATTGCTTCCTTCTCTATACACTAACACACTCCAGCCCCTTTATGACTGTTCCCTTCTTGCTCTACTCTGTCTCAGTGGATGTTCCTCCTTTCCTCCAAGCTACTCCTCCAGCTGAGTCCTGGCCCCCGTCCTTGCCCACTGCCTCCAAGACCACACTCCATGGCCCAATGCAGAGGAAAGAGCCAGCCGTTGGCATGGTTTGGGTCCTTGCTCTTCGTTTGGTTTCCGTAAGCTTCACTTGCTTCACTGTAAATTGGATGCAGTAATACATGCCTCAAAAATAATAATAATGGTGATTATTAATCACCAGTAAAAGGAATAATAATGGTGATAGCATATATAAAATACCTGACAAATAACAGAAAGTCTAGCAACATTAAGTTCCTTTTTTCTCTTCCCCCACCTTCCTCCTATATTTCATCTTTTCTGCCCCGTGGGCTTCTTTATCCCAGCCTACAACATCCTCACATCTTCCCTGACCCTGCTAACTCTTTTGGTGGCCTTACAACTTAATTCACTCCTCTCTTCATCATTCAATCTTGGTAAAGAATGACCTACACTCCTCATCTTCCCTGACTTACTATGCTCTCAATGCCTTCGCTCAGTGATTCTCAACCTTGGCTACACACCGCGATCATCTGAAGCGTGTTTGAAATGGGCTGTGTCTGGGTGTCGCTTGAGAGCTTCTAATTCAGGAGGTTTAGGGTGGGGCCCTGATTTCTCTGTTTCCACCAAGATGAGCAAGCAGAGTGGAAAGCGGCTGCCTTAATCTCCGTTGCACCGGCTTCCACCACCAATGCTCATCGTCTGCTCTCTTGGTTGCATCCACCCCAGCCTCTCTGCAGCATTCTGCACCCCTTCACGCCCTCCTCTTGGAGCTCCCATTCCTGGGCTTTCAGCCCTGCCCTCCCCCAGCTGCCCTCTATCTGTCTGTGACATTCCTGTGTTGGCTTTACCACAGTCCCTCTTCTCTCTCCTCCCTGAATGGGAAGAGTTTTATCTTTGGTCCTTCATCTTTCTTCTTTGAGAACTACATTCCAAATAACCCACAATCCCAGCAGTGTTAGAAAATCCATATCTATATCTATAAAGTAAAATACAATCCTCCCAAATCACACAGCCTCCTTCTTTCATCTAATCTCATCTCTGGAGGTGACCACCATTGACGTATTGGTGCATATTTATCTTTTTCCTACATTTATATAGTCGTGTCTCTATATGCACATGCATTTTTTTTTTGAGGAAGATTGGCCCCCGAGCTAACATCTGTTGCCAATCTTCTTCTTTTTTACCATTTTTCTCCCCAAAGCCCCAATAAATAGTTGTATGGCATAGTTGTACATCCTTCTAGTTGCTCTATGTGGGAAGCCACCTCAGCATGGCTTGATGAGTGGTAAGTAGGTCTGCTCCCAGGATTTGAAGCGGGGAACCCCGGGCCACTGAAGTGGAGTGCATGAACTTAACCACTATGCCACTGGGCCGGCCCCGGTGCATATGTTTTTTTAAACTTAAAATGGAATAGTTTTGTGACTTATCTTTTTTAAGCTTAATGCAGTTATGTATTCTAGGTTCCTAGCTATAGACTTAACCTACTCTTTTTAATGGCTGCCTAGTTTGTAATTATTCTACCATTCTTCCATTGTTAGATCTTAGGTAATTTCAACTTTTTATTGTAAAAGGGTTAAGATGATTATCTTTGCATGTACCTTAGGATAGATACTTAGAAATGGCATTGTTGGGTCAAAGGGAATGAGAGCTAAAATTTTGATAGATCACTGCCACTTGCTCTCCAAAAATGTTATAAAGTCCTAGAAGTGAGATTACTGAGTTGTAGAGTAGGAATGTTTTAAATTTTCATATATATCTCCAAATTCTTCCCAAAATATTTATCAATATACATTCCTACCAATACACACTTCTAACAAAGATGTTTTCTCACATCCTTGCCAGCAGTGGATTTTATCAATCTAATTTTTGCCAGTCTGATAAACAAAATATGATGTCTTATTGTTGTTCTAATTCAGTCTCCCGATTTCTTGTGAGACTGAGTTCACATGTTTATTATTTTTGAATTTTTTCTGTTATCCTGTGGCTATTCAATTCTATGCCTATTTTTCTTCTGGTATGTCTCTCTTTTTCAAAATTAATTTTTGACATCTCCTTTACTATTATACATATTAACACTTTGTTAAATATATTTTGAACATTTCTCAGTGTCTGTCCTATTTCCCTTGATTTTGTTTATAGACTACTTTACTACACAAAAGTTTTGGGTTTTTACCTAGTCAAATCTGTCAATTGTATTTATTAAGGCTCTGAGTTTTCTGTATTGCTTTTTTGCTTCTGTCGTTAAATTTTTTAAAAAAATAGATCTTTAATCATCCTAGGAATTGTTTTTAAATATTATATGAGGTAGAGAATTAAATTTATTTTCTTCTGAATGCATAGTCAATTATACCATTACCCTTGATTGACAAATCCATGATTTCTCCACTGATTTCTGGTGTCAGATATCATACATTACATTTCCGTATATATTTGTGTCTATTCTGGACATTATTCTGTTTTGTTTGGCATGCCTATTTGCATGCCGATAATGCACAATTTTGACAACTGTATTGTAAAAATAGTATATTATAATACCTGTTACTGCAAGTAATTTATCACGTTCTTTCCTTTTAAAATTTTCTCCATAATGTGATACATTTATTTTTCCATAAAATTTTAGAATCAATTTGTCCAAATTGAAAATGATTTCTTCGGCATTACATTACATTTATATATTAATTTGGGAAAAATTGATATCATTAAGACATTAATTCTTCCCACTCAGGAAGTATATCTGTTTATTAGGTCTTTTAAAACCCTCCTTCAAATTATTTGTTTAATCTTATAATGTCATTATAGTCTTATTGCACAATAATTTATTTAATCATACCATATCATGAACATTTAGGTTGCTTCCAAAGTTTTACTCTTATAAATAATACTACAATGAACATATTTGTGGAAAGAGATTTTGCCTTTGGAAGATTTATTTCCTTAGCATAAAATCCCAGTGAGACATAATTAGATCAAAGGGCATGCACATTTTTATGGCACTTGAGATATAAAAGCTTATCTTTTCTGATGGCTTCAACTATTAATGTTTCCTCTGTCATACTCTACATCCAGTCAGGCACAACGTCCTGTAAATATGTTTTTTCCCTTTCCACTGCTAGTGCCTCAGTTCACGGCTTCATCATTTG